CTCTGATAACTAATGAATAATTGCAAGCAAACAACAATCATCAGATAATATCTGTCTTTTATAGTGCTGTCTTATTATATTCTGGTGATTTAAACCACAATGGTTTGTGTATTTATCTCGGGTCTTCAGCTGTCAGTCAGAGATGAAGGTGTTGAGCTGTTTGTTATTCTGAAGAGTTTTTCTTTCCTACATCTCTTTTTCTGCCACAATCTGGGTCTTTTCTAGGACACTGTAATCTTTTAATGGGATCTCATTCCCTTCATTGATCGCATGCAGTTTGAGGAGATCATTGCACCAAGAGACCACTGAGCTCAATCTGTCCTCTAGACTCCGACAATCCACCTCTTCCCATGGCACTAAACAGCAGGCTGTCATTGACCTGATACCGACTGCGAGAGCATCAGGATGAACACGGGTGTTAAATGGACAGGTAAAAATCAGCCGTGATTTGGGACAGTTACTGAGCCCAGGGGTCTGGCTGAGCTATGAAGCATCTGGGGTGATAATTGTGTTATATGTCCGTGGGTGTGTGTGTTTGTGTGTGGATTATGGTTCTATTGCATTGTGGGAACCAAATGTCCCCTACAATGTAATAAAAACCTGTTTTTTACATTGTGGGGACCATTTTTCAGATCCCCACAAAGATCTGTGCCTGCAATCAAAAAACTAAAAATGCCAGAAGTCACGTATTTAGTTTGGTTACTTATGGTTAAGGTTAGGGCTGGGTAGGGGTTAAGGTCGTCATTGTTGGGATTAGAGTTTTCCCCATAGAAGTGAATGGAGAGTCCCCACAAAGATATAATTACAAACCTGTGCGTGTGTGAGAGAGAGAGAGAGAGAGAGAGAGAGCTTTAGGGATGACAGAGTAGACAAGGTCGGGTCACATTGCAGAGTGTTTTGATTGCCTCCACCATGCACACGATAAGGTTCCTCAGAGGCACAGACATCCCACCTTAGGGATATCGATTTCAGGGAGGCAGATGAGGGGCATGGGAGGGCGGGGGGACTGGCCAATGTTTGGCTGGTATTACGGTAATACCATGTATATATTGCCAACTAGGGTGGGGCTAGAGAGTGGTGGTTAAATTTGGGGCGAGGTTGCGGTGGCAAGACAGATTTCCAGGACATTGTGCATCATTTGCGGGTGTCAGGGAGCTGCTGTCCCAGAAACCCCTGATCATGTGATCTTGTCATATGACTTCCGCCGTTGCTTTGGATTGGTGCGCAAACATATATGAATACGTATATGAGTTGTGTATAGAATTCGAATTATGGCTTCTAAATAACTTGAACTGAATGAAAGCAGATGCAGGTTGTCCAGCTACTCTGTTGTTCTTCCCCAAATTCACTATAATCTCTATATTTCTCTGTTTTTCCCCAGAGACATGCTCAGTGTTAATCTGCAGCCTTTGCTTGTTACTCTGAGAACTTGACACCAGGCTGGTCTACAGAAGCCAAGCCTCATAAACAGATAAGGACGACCCCGATTCCCCCCGAGTCCGCAGGGGGCCAGCAACGTGGCTGAATCGCATGCATACAGTGATCCCACTCCCCCTAACTACCCTCCTATGGTCCCCAGTGGCTGTGTTAGGGGCCCTGCTGCTGCGTGACACCACATCCCTCAGATGTCCCCACGACGTCCCTGAGATGCGCTCCGTTTCACGGCCTCCGCCATATGGGCGACACGTCTCATGCTCGGCTGTCAATCGGCCGGACACTCGGCCGGTTGAGGACGGCTCGGTGCTGTCTAGCCGCAGAATCGGATCTCAGATTTCCCCGCCCGCCGCTCTGGGTTAAACGCCGTCGGGGAATTGAGATCCGGGTTCCGGGCCGGGTCGGGGAGTCCATTAGCAGCTGGAGTGGTGTCATTCCCAGGGGGGGGCGAGGATCACTGACAGCCCCAGCCTCTGTAGCTTATCTTACCCGGGACGACTGGCACCCCTCCTCAAACCTTTGCCCAAAATTTGTCACAGTCCCCACATAGGTGTGAGATGGACACGTCATCCTTGCTTTGTAGGTCAGCTGTTTTTCCTCTATACAGCTGTATGTGAAGCTGGGGGGTGCAGACAGGCACAAAGATTCATGTCACAAGACCAACACACCCGAGAAAACCAGCCTGGGGGGGGTTACCAGCTTACTGGTACTGCATTACCACCCCCGCCCAACCTCTGTGGGGTGATCAGTCTGCTGACGACTGCACTCCAGCGCTCTGCAGTTCCAGGCTACACCCAGCAGTCAATAAACCCATGTTTCATTTTGAACAGCGCCCCCCATTTTTCTGGATGACTGACTGCAAGTGTCTCATTTAATATTTAATATTGTCATACTCTATTGATACAGCTGGAGTTCCTGCAATGAAAGACAAATGCTAGTTATTTTTCTTTTTTCATTTATTTTGTGGAGAGTTTCCAAAACCAGAATGTTTATATGTTTAAATATACATATATATTCAATATTATAGAATGTCTGCCTCCACTGGGCTACGTGAAACCTGACAGTCATAAAGTATCTATTATTAACAAGCACCATTTTGTTTCTAATAATGCATACAGACACTGGAACACAGCAGTTAGCTTCCAGTATATGCAGCTCTAGCAAACAGATTAATCTTCGAAATGCATGAACTGGAATGGACCTGTGGTTGATTGGGCAGAGAAATAATGGAGTTTGGACCATTTCCCTTGCAGCAGTCTCTTTCTCTCTCTCTCTCTCCCCCTCTCTCTCCCTCTCTTTCTCTCACACATACACGCTGCTGGTGGTTTTCTTCTGTCCCATCAGGGCTCCATAACCTAATACACCAGCCTCGCTTTCCCTCACATTACATCGCTGCTTTGTTTCTGAGAAACGACGTGATTGGTCTTTACATCAGGAAAAAAAAAAGGATTCTTAGTAAAAGAGGCTCTCTCTCCCTCATGGAGCCCTTCCAGAATTTCAACAAGGGTTACAAATCATCAAGAGGCTCTATACGCAGACTGCGACGTGATGTAAATTTGCCCTTGAATTGCCCCTGCGCCGACAAAGGGAATGTCCATAAAGTAGCCGTTTCAATGAAAGGCCGCAATTCCATCTTTGTTATGGAATGGCTGAACACCACTTGGGGCCACAAGAGGGCAGATTCCATTTCCGCAGCATGACAGGGGACCCAGACTCAATGCTTGCATTACTAATATCCTACGGGAAATGTAAGCTGCCCTCTAGTGTCTGTAATAATGAGTTTAATTTAAGTTCATCCAGGGGAACTGTGACATATTTTTGCATTTACCAGTAATCATCCTTTATTTACAATTTTAAGACATGTTGTGCCATTAATTACCATTTAATAGAAAATGCAGTCATTACATGTTGGCTCTTTGATAGCTAACAGGGTGCGGGGTGGAGGGTAAAGCACTTTCTTTTGTGAGTGTGCTGAGTGGGGGTCATTTTCATGGGGAATTAGGACGGACATTTTGATCAAAATGCAATTTCTACCACAGACGTGGTATTAAACAGTGCTACGAAAACTGCAATCTATACACCGCATGTTAAAATGTTGAAGAAATATTAAAAAGTACTTTGGGTTCAGTTTACATTCATTTGAGGATTCATCGTGTAAATATTTATGACCATAAATTTTAATGTGCAATCAATGTGATTAATCACAAAAAACTAGGTTATTAATTAGTTACAATTTAAAATCGATTCACATCTCTGTTTTCTATATCAGTTTTTTTTCTCAATCATAATGTTTTGCCATGGACATAGACGAGTTTTCCCCCAAATGCATTTGTCCATGTTAAAAATGGTCAAGGGCCCCCCAGTGCTGAGACCTACGCGCTCCTGTCGTTCTCCGGAACGTTGGATGTCTTTCTGGAACGACACTTCAGGGAGGGTCTAACTGCAGCTTCCACACTCCCCCTACAGTACCTGAAGACCATCATCGGTGGGCCGTCGTTCACTCGCACCGCTTGTGTGTGAGAAGCTGGCATGTTTTCTTGACAGAGTTTCCAGAGGCGATGCCTCTTGGCGTTCCTCTGCATCGAATGTCGGCAGCCAGGAATGACTCAGCACTGAGGTACCCCAGGCTCTCCGTCAGGGGATGCGGGCCTCAGAATATTCCAGAAGAGACCGCAGTGATCCTCTCTCCGCAGGTTTACAGCAACGTGACGAGCATGGCAACGGTCTGGAATGGAATTACTCTGCGGACCCGGAGAAGGAGATATTTAGCTAATGGACTGGATTGGATTAGAGCAGCTGGGAGCTCGGTGGGATTTAGGGGGGTTCGGTTCTGAGAGAGTCCATCTCTGCGGCGGGCCTGGGGGTCGGGGGCCTGCATTAACACCTCAGCATCACACGGCGGGAGGCAGTCTGAGCGCGTGAGGGGAGTGGCGCTAACAGATACCCGCTGCTGGGATTAACACGGACCACGTTTTTATAAACAGCAGAAATAAATACACAGCAGGGTGCGTGTTTGCCTGCCCACTGCGGTGACACTGTCATTAAATCCACATGGGACACAGAGAAAATGACCTGATTTCTCCACAGAGATTAATAAAGTATATTCTGATATTGCCTTTTTGGGTGTTTTGAATGCTTTGGACTGTGTATCACCATGTATCTTCTTTTGTTAACCTGTTTCTTTTGTTGTTGTTGTGCAGCTCCGAGGGGTACGACTCTGTATCTATGATCAGAATGCAATCGGTTCAAAGCCCAGGCCCTTAACTCCCAATTGCCCCAGGCACTGACTGACCCTGCATTCCGTTGCTTTCAATTAAAACGCCTGCTAAATAGATAAATGTATTCAGTAGCTTTTTTGGAGGCATTCAGCCCTCTAAGGTCCAACAGTAGAGTCACTCCTAGGGATGTGGCATCATTAATCACATGACAGTCCCACGATTTAGGTGAAATGTAATATAACTTTTGCCTGGCTGGATTGATTGGTCCCTCAGTTTGGTTCAGCTGTATCTGATATTGATCCGTGCCAGTAGGTTGTCGGGTCCAAGCTCCTGTCCTCTCTCTTCCAGACTGCGATGCCTGGTGAAGCAGCTGGAGAGGGGAGAGGCCTCTGTTGTGGACCTGAAGAAGAACCTGGAGTATGCAGCCTCAGTGCTGGAGTCTGTGTACATCGAGGAGACCAGGTAACCTCATTCAGGCAATAAAAAGCTGTGGACCTTCAGTAACATCTCTCTGTCCCCCAGTCCCCTCTGTCCTCCTGTAAGGTCTCTCTGTCCCCCAGTCTTGTCCCCTCCGTCCTCCTGTAAGGTCTCTCTGTCCCCCAGTCTTGTCCCCTCTGTCCTCCTGTAAGGTCTCTTTGACATTCACTGGCTCGCCCCCTGCAGGCGGCTGGTGGACACGGAGGATGAGCTCAGCGACATCCAGTCAGACTCGGTACCATCGGAGGTGCGGGACTGGCTGGCGTCCACTTTTACGCGGCAGATGGGCCTGATGCTGCGGCGGACAGAGGAGAAGCCTCGTTTCCGGAGCATCGTTCATGCCGTGCAGGCTGGGATATTCGTGGAGAGGTGGGTCCACATACACATGCACGGTCACACTCATGCCCCCGAAAAAGTAATACGATAATTATAATCATGCAATTACAATAATGATTATTTTTAAGAGTTTCATTTCCATTGTCCATTTTCAGTTTTTCTTTTTCAGATTTAGGAAATTTACCTCGTTTTGTATATGATGGTTTACATCAGATTCATTACTTTACATCGACAAGATTAAACTCATTGTTGACAAAGAAAATTAGATGTGAAAAACTATGCAGAATATGTGCTAATTTAAGCAAGTGGTGATGCCAGGGATTCTAGGCTCTTCGGTCCATCTTAACAGATTTCGCTCAGCAGCCGCATGTGATGAGAGGACAACACCATACTGTCCCTTATTGTCCCTCACTGTCCCTTACTGTCCCTCACTGTCCCTCAGTGTCCCTGACTGTATCTGACCGTCCCTGGCTCTCCCAAACTATCCCTCGCTGTCCCTGGCTCACTATGACTTTCCCTGACTGTCTCTGACTGTCCCTAAATCTACCTGGTTCTTCCTGATTGCCCCCAGCTGCCCCTCACTGTCCATGGTCTTATCTCCCCCCATACAGGATGTACAGGCGGACCTCAAACATGGTGGGCCTGAGTTACCCCCCCACCGTCATAGCTGTCCTTAAGGTATTCCGTCCCAACCCAGTCACACCTGCACAGAGCCATCGAATGTTTACCTGCCTTTACAATAGGCATTATATTCAGCCATATGTAACATGTAGCTTCACATGACACGTGCGCATGTAATTCATGTTACACCCCCCCGCCCCCCCGTCCGATTGGCCTGTCCCTTAAAGAGCCTGATTGTGTTTCTGTGCCCAGAGTCCCATTACATACATGCTCAGCTGTGTGTTCAGTGATGTCATGCGGTGCACACGCTCCCTGGACACAACTCAGATCATGCCATGCAAACTCATGCCATGCAGCTTAACATGTCATCCTCACTCAGCAAAGCCTGACTGTGTAGAACCAGATCCTCAGACGGGATTTTAATCAGATGAACCCATCTAATAATCTGTGATAGAAGAGGTACATTTCTTCTGTTGCTAGAGAAACACCAGAACACCCAAAAGCCACCAGTATATACCAGTACACACTGACTTATAAACTCTTTTGGTTTTAGTTGGATTTATTGGGGGATCCCACCAAAGGGGAAATAGCTGAAATCATTATATATACTATGTAATCAAAATACATTTACATTCATTAGACACTTTAATTCAAGGTGACATTCAGTTAAGAAAGCAGTATCAGACAATCCCTGAAGCAGTTGGGGTTAAGGGCCTTATTCAAGGGCCCAACAGTGAAATCATGGGATTTGAACCAGCGACCATCTGATTGCAGCCACACACCGCCCTTATAATAAATATACATGTAAGTTTTTGGATGTAAAAAAAATGGATGTAGGATCCAGTTGTTATCCCAAACAGTAAAATTAACTCCTCTTCTGTTCCAATAGAACACTGACAAGTGGTCATTCGACGTGTTCAGCCTGAACGATGCCAGCGGAGATCACTCTTTAAAATTCATATTTTATGACTTGCTCACAAGATATGACCTGATCAACCGCTTTAAGGTAAGCAACAAGGGTCACTTTTATCTGCATTTTCAAATGTCATATTTTGATATCAAAACAAGAAGAGGCTATTGGATAATCTCCATTTGTATTTAAAATAAAAAGATTGCATTTAAGATGAACCCAAACCAGTTTTTCTGGGTTGTGTTGGGTTCCAGTGGCCTGCATCCCACCCTGGTCTCTCCCCTCCTGTCCTAACTGCAGATCCCCATCTCTGCCCTGGTGTCCTTCGTGGAGGCGCTGGAGGTGGGCTACAGCAAACACAAGAACCCGTACCACAACCTGATACACGCCGCGGACGTGACTCAGACGGTGCACTACCTTCTGCTGAAGACGGGGATGGTGGTTAGTACGCAGCCGGTCACATACTCAGGCACAGCAAGGCATCATGGGAAGCCTGATTGGTGGTACAGTGTAGTCACATGTTCATTCACAAACGCAGCCAGGAATCATGGGAAGTCCGGTACTGATACTACTTAGGATTCCTGCTGATGTTCCGCCAGGAATCTTCCCACAATGCAGTGAGAGCTCACTCTCTGTTGTACGCTTTGATAGATGGTGCCATAATGGCTTTGGGCATGACAGATTTGTGCTTTTACTGAAAAATACAAAGACATCTGGAGCATATCGTGCCTCTTTACAAGGGATTTCAGTGCCTTATCTCCCCAGTACAGCACTGCAGACTTTTGTCCGGGACAGAATGGGTTGTGAGACTGTGTGGGGCGCAGCAGAGAAAGTTGTGGTTCCTGGGGGGGGGGGGAAGCATTTGAGAGCACAGCTATTGATTTCATATCATTTGTCACTGATCTCACACCCCCCCCCCCACGTCTGGATTTACAGTGACAGGGTGGGGTAGCTCACTGAGAGGCACTCAGCCAACCCTGAGGGCACATCGATCTTCTGGCTGCCACTTTCACATTCATCTGTTTGCCGTGACTTTTTAAAAAAAATATTTAATTAATGTATCTTTTGACTTCCGCCACTGAAAGTCGATTGCAGTGCAACTCACTGGCTTCTAAAACCAGCGTAATGCTCACTGTTGTTCAATATCCATGAAAAATGTGCCCAATTTTAACTGGCACAGAGATGTGGCACATTCAGCTGGTAAGTTGTCTCAGTTTGAGCGTTTATTCTTAATTATGCTGCACAGACAGAGAGATGGAAGCCCCCCCTCCCCTCCAAGTAGGAGCGGAAAAGCCACGCTCATTGAGAAATGTCAGAAAAAGGCTAATTTAATACAGGTCCACAATCATTGTCCTGCAGCCTCCAGCCATTTATAAAAAGCATGAGGCATTTTCTTTTTAATCTCTCATTTCATTTTATCATGGAAAAAAAATGTTACAACTGCAGCTCGTTCCTCCAATATGTTTTTATGGGCTTAACCTTCAGAGCTATTGCATTATGGGCTGGGAGGCGGTATCCGTCATGCCGTATCAAATCCACAGGCAGGGGGAGCCGGCGCGCATCATTCCCAGCCATGATCAGAATGCAGGGCCCTTCTTATCAGTCGATTTGTCGCTGTCATCCCAGTTAATGCCACTTGTCCTCATAGAAAACACTCCGAATTCGCTCTGCGTATTCTCAAGCTTCTCCTGATCGTGGTACTGATGGGACATAGACCTCCTGTAGCTGATTACAAGGTCGACCCTTACTGTCTGCTGGCCCAGGGGTGACTCAAGGTTTTTGTGAGGTGGGGGGTATAAGAAGGGCCATAATTCAAACAGAGGGGGCCAACCTTGTCATTGAGCAATGAAGAAATTGGAATTGGCGGCTGAGAGAGTTGGGGGCACTCTGCGGGCCAATCAGCTTTCAGCTGGGGCCAGTGCCCTGTGACTCCGCCCCTTCTGTAACATCTTATGAGCAGGACTATGACCGACGGGGGAAGCAGTCACATGGCACTCAGGGCCGACTTCCCCACCTCCGTCCTCTCCTTTGTTTCTCTCTCTTCCTTGCCCTCTCGTTTATTTCTCTCTCACTCCACACCTTCGCCCTCCAGCACTGGCTCACGGAGCTGGAGATATTCGCAATGATCTTTGCCGCGGCCATCCATGACTATGAGCACACCGGGACCACCAACAACTTCCACATACAGACCAGGTAAGGGGCGTGTCCATGAGGGAAGGGGGTGTGGTGGGGGAGGTGGGAAGGACCCATTGATGTTTACTTCTGTCAACTGCGAGGTGCACTTAAGAGTCAACGTATAATGTTAGAGCAGAGCTGGGCTCAGCAGTGTTGTTTACCACCACTCAAACCATGTATTTTCACAGCGCCACCTGTTGGCCACAAACAGTCACTGCATTACTGACTTTTTGAGCGGGGCCCCCAGAATCAGCAAACCATCCTCCGCCTGGGCTGATGTGACCTAAACAGTGACACTATTTATACACACGGGCAAAATTATACGCGGACGCGAGGCGGAAGCAGCAGAGCCAAACGGGGAAAATGATGGTGCAGAAAAAGATTACCGGGATTGACTCTGGCGTCAGTCAGGATCCGGGTTACTGGGCCGAGACGAAACAAAGCACCAATTTACACAAATCATTCAGGCCGAGCGACGGGCGGAACAGAGCAATACAAGTGCCCCAAGTCACCTGACACCCAGTCATGGGTTTATATGACATAATAATGAAAAATGAAATACAAAGTGTACAATGGAATCAAAATAAGTGACATATACAGTGTTATGAAAGAGGCAGTCAAAGAAAATGACGTTGAAATGATCTTTATGTTGGCGTAAAACTATTATATCATGTCTGTCAAAGTGTGTCAGCTTTAGTCATTTCAAAATCTCACTTAAAGTCGCCCCAATCTGTTCAGCAACCATCCAATATACCCCATGTATTTTTTTGACTTGACAAATATCACGCCATGTTTGGCTAATCGATAACTCATTGAGTTATTTAACCTAATCAGTTAATTAATTAATTGAGCTGGTGGTGAAATTTAATGAATACAATGAATGGCTGGGGTGCCCCTGAGGAGAGCTTTGGGACGCAGAGCGCTGATCATCTAGCCGTCCAACAAGGAATCAGTAACCTTTTGGAGAACAGAAGTTCTTCTTAGTTTTTATTGTGTCGCTCTTATTTTGCCCATGTCCCAATGTTAAATTGTGATTGTTCTGCACTTACAACCCAGTTAAATAGCTTTTAGCATTTTTCCTGACTGCCTGAGACTTTTGCGCAGTGATGTATATCACATATTATATTGTATATTATGTATATTACAGATCAGACGCTGCCATACTGTACAATGACAGGGCGGTGCTCGAAAGCCACCATGTAAGTGCAGCATACCGCCTCCTACAGGACGACGACGAAATGAACATCCTGTACAACTTATCGAAGGATGACTGGAGGTGAGCATATGGAGGCCGGGCGCGACTCACCTCCGATGGGGGTCATTTCACGTTTTCGGGCAGTGGGTACATGATACATGCTTTTTTTTTCATGTTTAGAGAGAAGATTAGACAGCGATAACGATCAAGCGTAAGGCATAATCTGACACAAAGGGCCGTCTTTTTATTGTTATTATTATTATGTTTCTTAGCAACCGTAATCATCACCTTGATCGCTGTTTTAGAGAAAACAGACATGTTATTTTTACTCGCATGGATGTGTACTTTAAAAGACCTTCTCGATGGTCCAACGGCAGGACTCCTCAGTGTCTTTACCCCCAAAGGTGATCTGAGGTTGCCTTCTTCTCCCATCCCGCCACAGAGAGCTGAGGGCCCTGGTGGTGGAGATGGTCCTGGCCACAGACATGTCCTGCCACTTCCAGCAGGTCAAAGCCATGAAGAACTCCCTGCAACAACCCGAAGGGTCAGTTCGCCACCAGAGCCACTGAATCTCAAAACCGGACATCGTCTCATACACCTTTTCTTACGGGATTTCCAGAGTAGCTGTATAAGACGCCTAAATCGCCCTTCCGCATGAATAAACGCGTCTCTGCCCCAAACAAATACAAGATCTGAGCCCCTTTGATTTATATATCTTTGAGCTATAAATCTTCTGGGTTCTGCTTCACCGCCCCTGCCACCCGAATGCCTGGACTTTCGGGGACGTGACCATTATACACACGACCATTGGCTGATTGGCTAGAAGAGCCCGGGGCCAGGCAGAGAGCAACCTCAATGAACGACTCCAGAAAACAGCACCGCAGAAGCGATGGCTGCCTGGGGTGCAGTGAAAGGTGGATGGGGGCGGGGGGCGGAGAAAATGAGCTTCTACCCAAACAAGAGAAAACATTGCCGCTGAGTCCGAGCAGCGGGAGGTGAAGGAAGGACAGGAACATTACAGGAACATTCCGTAAACTCAGGAGATCTGAACACAGCTCGGAGCATCTGCCCATGTTTTCTGACACCCTCCCTTACAGGATCGACAAGCCCAAGGCCTTATCTCTGCTGCTGCACACTGCTGACATCAGCCACCCAGCCAAAAACTGGGACCTGCATCATCGCTGGACCATGTCCCTGCTGGAGGAGTTCTTCAGGCAGGTGAGGTCGCACGGCCACCTGACGTTTGTTTACACGGCCCTGGGCCCACATGGCCCGCTGCTTGCTCACCAGTTACGGAGTGACGCATCACATTCCGCCGCCAATCACCTGGCTGGTCCCAGCCTGTGTGTTTACATCCACAAGCTTGCCCAGTCCTCTTCTATTCACAGTAGGTGTGTCCTGTGTCACCTGAAATTGAATTTTCTCGACTCTCGACTGACCTGGTGGATTTTTAATATGCCAACCATTCTGCCCTCTAAGCAGGAAATCCCCTCACATATCTAAATAATTGGCGATGCATTTCTTTCGACTGGGCACTGCTTTCTTCCTCTCTGATGTGAGGTGATTTTTTTTACTCATGGGAGTTTTACTTACACAAAAATGTAGGGCAGAAGGAACAATGATTGGTTCAGAGAGATAACCAATCAGATTGTAGTGGTTGCTGGTCCAGGTACAACTCCTATGGTGCAATTTTTTCAGCCTCCTTTATGCTGCCCGGCTGCCAAAACATGATCATTCATAAAACTGGTCCAAAGAGCCTTGCTGAGAATGCCAGCCAAAGGCAGCTGAGAATGCCAGCCAATGGCAGCTGAGAATGCCAGCCAATGGCAGCTGTTGTGAGTGCTAGGCAGGGGGAAGATTCCAGAATAGCTCCCAGCATTCCATGCATGCGTGCCAACGTACCTGCTCACTTCATCTACAACCTTCATCCAAAATCACAAAAAAAAAAAAGCGTTTGTCTTGTAAAAGTAACTTGTCCCAAGGCTTAACATTTATTTGACAAGCCATCGATCAAATTAATAGAAAATGCCAGAACAACAAATGGCACTGGCCTACCTTTAATAATGATTATTTTATAGCATGGCTGTTTGCAGTGATGTAATCATCTTTGCAGGTGCATGGTCATTAAAGTGCAGCTGCGAAAAGCTCATTATCAAAAGAGCTCCCGGGACCTTTCTGAGATCATCGACACGCAGAAATAAGAGCCACTTGACTTGAATCAGTCTTCTATTAGAATCAAACCATTGCGGTCGTCGGTGTGAGAGAAATCGACCAGAGTTGCATTCCGATGACCCGATACTCAAAAAAATGATGCCAGACATCACCTGGGGAATTAAACTGTCTTGCCAGCACTTAGACGTTTTGTGGACGGGCATGACGAAGGACAGACGAGCCACGTTGTGGCTCACAAAACGGGACTTTATTAAAACTCAAAAGGAACACAAGAAACAAACAGGTCACAAGGGGCCAGAAACAGAGTAGGTAAATGACAACACTAAGCCAGGGAGCAACACGGGAACAACCATAGCAAACAGCAGCAAACACAGGACAACATCAACTACAAACACACACAATAACCAACTGAGGAACAAGGGCATGGGTGGCACTATTATACACAGATAACGAGGGTAAGATGAGGGACAGGTGTGGGCCAATCACAATCAAACACTACAAGACGATGGACATATTTACAAAGGACTCAAACACTAGGAAAGGGGTGAGCAGCGACACCTGCTGGCCAGGCAGGGACTAATCCTGACAAGATGCTAGCCTTGCTGCTATTAGTTTTGATTTAGTTTTGTACCAAACTGTGATGTTGCTATTAACTAAAGGCTTATTATTACAGTAGGTGTGCTTAGGGAGGATATGGTGAAACTCAAAACCCAGTACCAAAGGTTGTGTCCCCCTAACACCCCCTTGGCAAGGCATCTGAGATGGCAAAACGCTCATGGATGTGAGAATGGATTCAGTCGTAGGGGAACATAATGCTTCATTTACTCTCCATGTACATTCATGTCCCACTTCTGACACCAGTGTAGCTGATTCACTGAGGACAGCCTATGGTTAGCCTCAGACTCACCCAGTGTAGCTGATTCACTGGAATCCTTTCCAAGGCTGCTAGCATCTATACTGTATGCTGGGAACTACAAAAAAAGCACAGGATTCTTTTTCGGTAAAGGATCATATCTAGCACTTTCCATAAGAGTGCAGTTTGGGTAATTTAGCTAGGTAGTTAGGAGTGGATAGCACACTGACAGATTCAGGTTAGCGCTGGGTAATGCAGTACAACTAACTTTTAGCGGTGAAACGGATTACAGTAATGGCTTAAGTAAGTTGGCTGCGATTCAAAGCAGCGACACGTAGCTTCTGGTTGCTCATTGGCTCAATGTACTCATCATCCATTACCTTGGTGACGCCAAGTTCTCTGTTGCCAGGGCGATAAGGAGGCGGAGCTTGGACTGCCCTTCTCCCCGCTGTGTGACCGCAAGTCCACCATGGTGGCCCAGTCCCAGATTGGTGAGAACCTTCCCTGGTCCATGCTAACAACTGAGCGATAAATATTACAACGGATTCCACCACTGCTGTCGGGTTAGAGGACAGTAAGTACCATGTTCTCGTGTCGCCTCGGTGACCGCCCCCCTTCCCCCCTCAGGGTTCATCGACTTTATCGTGGTTCCCACGTTTACTGTGCTGACGGATATGGCAGAGAATATCGTCACGCCGCTCATCGACGAGGCCTCGCACTCGGGTCTGGCAGGATTCCGTCGCTCCAGGTTTGTCACGCCCTGTCAGCCCCCCCAGCGATTCTTCCCCGACCCCCTAACAGTTATGATTTGTGGGTACCTGCTTCGGCCCTCCGTCAGTCCTCTGAAAGTCAAAAAAACTTATTAGTAATTCCTGAAATTCTTCATTCCCATAGAATTTGTCGGTAAAGCTTGTCAGTACCTAAATCTGCATCTTCACCTCAGGCACACAAAGCTCCAGATGTTTTCCCCGCACATCAGTATGTCACATCCGTATCTTTGATAGCTTCTGCTTTCTCATCCCTGGTTGCCTACGGGCCGCCGGTACGTGTCTGTACACCTTTGTCTCATCCATCATGGCGCCCCCTGCCTGTGATCCCAACCACCACCTCTCTGGCGAGCTCCTGCGGCTTCCCTCATCTTAATCAAGCCCCCAACAGGTTCCCCCTGCCCCGTAAATCAGAGGCTGAACGTTGACATCTACAGGCTGGAAGTGGGGACCATGGGGGTCACTGCCATGCGCTGATGACAGGTCACTAAGCGGCAGTGACAGTTCTCAGCAGGGCCTCAGGGGGCGATGCTGGTGGTTTTGCTCCACATCTGCTCCCATCGCATTATAGTGACGCAAACCCCATGACTCTGCATGGAAGCCTTGCAACAGGACCTCCTGCACACATCCCATGTTGCTTCATACCTGCCTCCTCCTCCCCCCCCCCCACAGTCTTAACAGCATCAACTCCGCTGACGTGAAGCGCTACACTGCAAAGACCACTGGTTCTGACGGGGGCACGTCCCTAAACTGTTCCCTGCTCAGCGTCGACCTCAAGATCTTCAAATCCCTGTGGAGCGTCGAGGTGGCCCAGAACCGGGAGAAGTGGCAGGCGCAGGCGGCCAAAGGTGCTCTGGGGCCGGGTCGTGCCATGGGGGATGAACAGCAGGGTGCAGAAAGCCCCCATAATGGTAGTTGCCAGTGCATTATGGGAAATTGAGTCCCACTGAGTAGTTTGAGTATGTGTAGAAAAGCACTCAGCTGAGAACACATATAAAGCATGCATGTGGCTGCATGTATCTGAGCGATCCACTTCCCTGCTATCGCCCCATAATCTAGCACAACATGGCGAGGTCAGGAATTCCCACTTTGAAAACCAGGCCTTTCAAAACAATTATAAACGTTTCTAAGCACTGCAGGGACTTGTGGGTAATGAAACCACAGAAATGTAGCTATTATGGACCACTGAGCCAACTGCTCCAGCACTTTAAGAAACACCCCTCCGCAGTCAGTACCTGGTATCTGCCATACTCAACAGCCACCACCTCCCCCCAGAAAATTACATGGTTCGACCATTTCATTTGCGTAAAAACTCATTGCAGAGACCTGCAGAGGTCTATAGCTCTGATGCGACACATGTGTATAAAATACAATAATAACAGGCAGCGTTGCAGTTTCTGTTCTGCTGAGGGACACACAATCATCCTGCACATAATCCCAGACTTTTTTCAGCTGTGTGAAGTTGTTTTATGTCTCTCCAGAGAGCCCTATAAGAATCTAAAGTAGTATATATCTTATCTGTCGAAATATGGGGGGGGGGGATCATAAAATCATCTTCTGGGGATTAGGTGATACACAGGCTGGAAATGAACAGCGATTCCCATGAAACTCCTTGACAAAGCTGTTTGCGTCTCATGTGGCTTTCCGGAAAATTCCATCTAATGGAGTAGCTGCAGACCCAGATGAGTAGCAGCCCAATTTCCAAAGAATTCTGGGAGACCGAGGTGTAATTCAACCTTCTGTTTACTTTCTTCCTATCAAAGATCCAAACAGCAAACACACATCCAAAGACCAAATCCTCCAAAGAGGCCAAAACCAAAAAAAAGAAAGAAAGAAAAACAACAAATCTACACACAACCCTGAAGCTTCTAACCCTCAGGCAGATAATCCCATGACCTGGAAAAATGGGCAGAATCGGGTGCAACTTAAGTAGGGAACCTAGCTAGTATAATTGTAGTCTTCTAATGAGGCAGTGAAAATCTGAAATTGCCTCCCAGCTCCCTCTGCTGGCCAGGACTGGAAATTATATTGAGTTCCCTGACGTGACTCAATATTCTGTTAGACCTGGAGGAGAAGGCCAAGCGTGAAGCAGAGGAGGAGGCCAGGTGTGGGGTTGAAGAGGAAGTCAGACATGAGACAGAGGAGGAATCCCAGGCAACCCAGCCGGGCCCTGTTGAGCAGCCTGGGCTGGTGGACCAGAAACTCCAGAACCGGGAGCTGAACCGACCACTGGACAGAACTGCCAAGAGCCACATGGACACCGACAACCCAGATCAGATGCAGCGGACAGAGAACGGTATGTTTATCAGATGGTGTGTAACCGTGACGGTTTGTTTAAGATAACAAGTGAAGCAGGGCTTCATCAAAAAAAAAGAAAAGAAAAAATGTAACATTCATGTCACAGAGCAAAATATCATTTTAGTTTCCATGTGAAACCAAAGAAGTGCCGTTGTTCCAAAAAAATTGTAAAAAGAACTTCCGTGAAGCAAAACATCTTTTGCATCACTAACACAGAGACTGCAATGTGTTTGTCATACCTTCTATTCAGCGGTTGATTAGATATTTAAGGGATATTGCACATTTTGAAACCTAATCAGTGAAGCAGGCTTCACCTATTCTTTCCACTGGTGCGCGCTCATGCGTATTCTGCGCACAAAGATGATTGACACAAGTTTGACCATTCAAAACGTGAGTTCAGCCATCAAGCAAAATAAACTTGCTTGTTTTCCTTTATTTCTTGTAGGTTTATGGACAAGGAATTGGTATACTCTAAGTGAAAGAGGCAAGAGTTTGAAATAGTTTGATTGTAAATACTATATTTAAATAGGCCTACTTGTTTATTGTAGCCAATCCCATGTATGTATGGTTAATGTAAAAGAGAACGTGTATTTTTTTTCGTTTTGTTTTTTATTGTGCAAAAGGAAACACGTAAGTGCAGCAGTGAAATTAAGTTGTTTTTAGGACATGTGAGGATTAGCGTTTGCACCTGTCCATTTATATTACACGATTAAATAAAATGCTGTTTGATGTTTTGAACCAATATGGAGTGCGATTTTTCTCGTATTTTTGGACCACGCAATCAATCCTTTCTCCTCGCACATTTCATCGTTGTGGATACAGGGAGGTAGGAGGTGGCCTACCTTATTTTATCAGATCGAAATTGGCAACGTTAGTGAGTCTTGCGTCTCCCAAACACAGCGGTTTGGGTTACACAACGGTTATACAGCTGAAGGCTCGGGATTCGGGCTACATGGAGAATGTTTAGTACAGTCTATGTATATGTGTTAGTAATGTGAACTTTATACTTGAGATTCCAAAGCTTAATGTAAAATTTTAAATTAAAGAAGATTAAGTTTGGCATTAGATTTTTTATTACGTTTGAGGCAATATCTGTGAAGCTTTGATTTGTAGGACATGGTTTCCCCCTAGTGACTGATTAATACCATAACAATAATCTTGCGACAAATTCGTTATCAGTGATTTTGAAAAGTTTGTATTCCTGTTTACCACAATCACACTACGTTCTATGTATTTCTGCACAAATAATTATTTATTCTCTCAAATTTTAGGAGAGATTCAAGAGAAACCCAACTCTTCCACTCCAGAGGACAGATCAAACGGTAATGATCAGCCTAATTTGCCGAACTGACTATACTGTCATAGGAATGTCTGGTTAGTTTTTAGCCTGGATAGTTTTGCTGATGATATTTAGTCTTGAAATTGTTTTGTGGCCCAGTGCTCTGTGCGTAACGTCGGTAGCACTGCCCCTTGGCAATAGACTATGGGAGCGTTGTATTGATGGGGGTCCTCACCCCAGTGGAGCGAGTCGGGACCCCACAGTGACCCTGGCATCTTTCCCCACAGATCCCGAGCCAGAGTGAGAGGGGAACTGGGTCCCTTCCCCCAGCAGGACAGATCGCTCATCTCCAAAACCCCCAAGTACTTCTCCCTCCCCGTCGCTCCTGCCACTCGGTAACCGATGACTACAGGCATTTAGAAAAGCCGCCAGAATCGTCACGGCAACCCGCGAGATGGAGACAGTTAAGACACCAAGGTGTGGAGTCTCTGTAGGACTCAGCAATGCTGAGCGATCGATGGAAACAGACCCAGGCCCCCTGCTGTCATTATTATTATTTTTTTTATTATTTCATTTGGTTGCTGTAACTTATCATTTCTGTTATCATTTATTGCAGATGAGTGACGTCTATCACCAGTAGTATTATGCTTTTTTGTAGTATAAAGTGAGTAAAATGCTGGCTTTTGTTTTAAGAACTGCAACATACCTGTTAAATGATGCCTTTTATATGTAACCCTAACCCCCCACCAAGGACGAGCATCAATACCGCTACAAGTTTTTTTTTTTCATTTTTCAGATTGTGAATGGAGTGTTAACAACAGGCCATGAATTGCAATCTGTTCAGTAACAAACATCTAAAAAGTTCAAAGAAACCCATTATTTTAACAAGGAATACTTGTGATGTACAGTACAGCACTATAAAGAGTGACACATTTTAAAATATGAACACTTAATTTAAAAAGTACTTAAAGTGCATTTATTACAATGTACACACTATATTTTATAATTTGTGAATGCACATTTATTTTAAAAAACATTACATAGTATATTCTGAATAATAATGATAATAATAATTATAATAATAATAATAAATCCTAATTATAAAGTATGATAATGGATATTTCTCCTAATTCAGTATATTGTGTATATGTTGATGTGTACTGAAAACGATATTCGATATTTTAGTACTTTCAGGCATACAGTATATTTATGTGTGGTGTCTGTGTGCCAGGTCACGAGGGTGTATCACCCGAAAGCCCCCACTGCCCCCCTCCCCGTGGGCTGTTACACTCGGGTTTAGATGGATGCCTGTAACTATACCAGCGCATCGGCATAATTATTTTATTTCCTGCTTGGTCGTGACGTTCTAATTGTTACAGGACAAATCGTTTATTTAATTGGTTGTTGTGTGGTGCAGGACCGATAATTTATGATTTTCGTTAAAAAATATGACATGAATACTGTGAGCCTGTTTGCGGTATCTGTGTTTGTTTGACGGGAAATTACAGCTGGTTTCCGCTTTTTGAATACCTGGATATATGTGTAGTTTTGTTCTGTATTTTTTTTTTTAAAAATACGCTGTTTTTAATGCAGCCAATGCAAGATCGTTGCTTTATTAGTTCGGAAGAATTATGCGATAATTTTATCATTTGAAAGTTTTCTTTTTCTTAAGGTCACATCAGGAGCTAACTAGAAAGTGAATTGTCAAACTTTGAAGCTGATCTTCAATTAGCCATAATTATTGATAAATTCTTAGCTAACCAGTCTGGTATCGAAGGCAGTGTTATGTTATGGCTTACCCTACGTAGCTTTTCGGGATTTCATCTTCAGCACTTGGTAAATAAATGCAGGTTCGTTCAATATTATTACTCTGCCTTATTCCTGCTCTCTTACAGTTTTCTGGTGCACTGTGACAGTTCTTCATCTGTCATTCTCAATAGGGCCTCATCCCCGGAAAGTACACGGCTTGGAGCGCCATCTGGTGGCCACGTGCGTTAACCACGTGCGTTTGTGTGCTTGTGCTGTGTGTGTCATAGCACTGGGCCGGAGCGCACTTTCTACTGCTTTCAGTATTTCTGTTTTCCAGAGAAGCGCAATTTACGTCAGATAAACACTTGGGCATGCAGTGCATGACTCAGGCTTGTTTTTTTTTTTGTTTTGTTTTTTTAAAAAAAAAAAAAACCTTTAAACCATTTTTGCTGCCCAAACCACAAGACACACCAAGTTGTCGATGTAGTTTCCTTCCTTCTTGCTCTCACCATCTGGAATTCACATGATCATCTGTTTTTTTTTTCTTTACCAGGCAAGTTTCTTATTAATTAGCTAAGATGTGATGCGTCTGTTTTTTCTCCACAGAGTACAGTAATTAAAAGCCTTGTAATTAATGATGGATGTTGCAGGTTCGGCATGTGTGTAACACCACCAGTCAAAAGTTTTTGCACACCACAGATTTTCACCACTTTTCCAGTTTTTTTCACAAGCGGCAATTTTTTTAATTCTTCATAAGCACTGGAAAGTTGAGTGAACAACTATAATTGAAAATGTAAGTCAAATAAAACAAGTTTCCTTTATAACACGGAAAGAGTATGTAACAGTGCATGTCTGACATCCTATTAACTGGTTGTGTGGTGATGGCTTAGTCAAATTATAGGCTGTCCTTTAACTTTAAACACACTAGTTTCCTCCCAAGAAACAGAGCAGTATTTAATGTCCCTTGTATAAAAAAATGCCTCGAATTTTCTCCGCTGTTATAACTGCTAGAGGAGGCTACTTTGATGAATCACAGATATGACAGTTTCTTGCTAATAAAGGTACTGAACTGGTGAACATACTGTACATTTATTTGTTAGCGAAGAATATTGGTTGTATTTTTAGTAAATGTTAACTGAGTAAAATGTTAATGACTTAATGTTAAGTGTGTGCAAAAGCTTTTGACTGGTACTGTAAGTCAGAGGTTCTGGTGCTGCGGCCCAGCTCTGTATTTCCAGATGTACGGATACACTGATCACCGCTTCGGGAGAGTGTAGAACATTAACTCTTGGGGTACCACACAATCAGGATTTAGAAGGCACCTTTTTATGAAGTACATTATAAGATTCAAATTTTGATTTGATAACAGTAAGGATGCCTTCAATCCAGTCACGGATATCTGGGTCAGAATTCTGCGTGAATATCTTTTTTTTTTTAATTGAGCACATTAGTCAGTTGTCTCCTTCCTTAAAAAAATGAAGCCTTAATTCTCAAACCCTCTAAAACTGACATTTCATACAATCCCTGGAAGACGGCTATCCTTACGTCAATGACACTGTCCAATGATATCACTGTGCGAAAACTGGGGTGGCCTTGCTCCGAAACGGAAGCCATGATTGTTCTCTCTACAGCAAGACTCTCTCTCTTGTAAACAGCATACAGTCCTAGATAAAAAATGTGTGTCTAAAAGTCTTATTGTGTAATTGAACAAATCCTGTCAAACTGTATTTTTCACTACTTATTTGTGGAGTGATGTCGATTTTGTTTTTAAGAGAAGAGCACACTTTCGTCGATATGCTACATTTTAAAAGTTTATGTTTGATTGGTTATGTCTTATTATTATTATTTAATTCTCATTCAGTTATTTATTCCCTGGTTAGTTTCACCAGTTACTGAGTGTCATTTTTCTATATATATTTATGTTTATAAATATTGGTATAGAAAAATAAGATTGTCTTGTACTTGCCAATAATTTACATGAAAATGTAAATTAACGTACCACGTAGTCAGGCTTTAGCTCTCCTACTAGTTGTTGACTAGTAAAGAAATGTCTTGTTTCAATGACTTAAACCAATCAAGAACTTAGCACCAAACCCATCAAGTATTTACCACTAAATAAGCAGTAGGTGGGTAGGTTGTATACTCACGTTCGCATGGCAATACCAACATTTTTTATTTCCCGAAATAATTATGCGGAACATTAACTTTTGTGGGATTTACCAAATATATAAACCAACAGTTTGAGCATATGGAGTTATTTTGCTATGCCAACTCATTCCTGATTTTACTTTCGTTTGTGTTTCTTTGCACATCCTTCGTAATGACTCATCCCCAAGCTCCTCCCCTTGATGTTCCTTCGTAATGACTCATCCCCAAGCTCCTCCCCTTGCAAACATTTGGAGCCGTTAGCGTAGTGTCCGTTTGTCCTGTTCGTCTGTCGGTCGGCTGACACACAGCGCTCTCCTCTCCCTGTTACGGTGATGTCATAGCATCGCTGTCAGTCTCCATCGGACGCTGCGAGATGATCGTGGACATTTACAAACCTCTATCTTGCCTGTCTTGTGTGTTCTCCTGTATAACGAAGGCTCTGTTGACCATGTGGTCCTATTTGCTACCATGCTAGTTTATTGCACATCTGCGACAATAAACCTGAATTTAAAGGGCTCAGATAAGGGATTTGTGTCTTTATTATATAAAAAGCAAAGCATGAAAGGGGTTGAGTACTAACACACAAGCTCACGTGTTTCCTAAAAGAGAATTTGCAGACCACTAGGCCTTGGCTACCAAGAAAGCTAATTCTTTCAGTCTTTCTCCTCGTCCTCCATGTGAATCACACATCGTTTCTCTTTAATCAGCTTCACCCCTGGCAAAAGAAAAATGAAACACAGAAAACAGAATCACAGGCTTGTTAAATTCCACTGAGAAGAAATAGAGTCGCTGAGAAACGGAGAAGCACTGAAAGGCAGCCGTGGGCGATTGGCGACTTGAAAGACGTCATCGGGAAGACCGGGGATTACCGGGGAGCAGCGGCGGGGCCTTCAGCACCGGCGTGTCTTTTCTCCGGGGCTTTTTCGATTCCTGCTCATGCCGTTCGTCCTGCCCTGGTGCCCCGAGTCCATGCGCGCCACCGGGCTCCAAGCCAAAGCCGGTCGTCAACTTCCCAGGAATGTTCGCAATCGGACCTGCGGGAAACGGGAGGCGTGAAGTGAGGATTTTTGGAAAGATTAAATTGTGAAAGATCTATGAAAAATGATTACAATTAATGTTATTTCAAGAATTTCCCCCAGGATCAATAATGTTTCTCTTATATTATTAATAGTATTAGTATAGTAGTGGTACTATTATTTTTTATTAAATATTACTGATATTTATTATTTTGAATATTCTGATGAAATTATTTAAATCAATAGGATCTAAAAAAGGCAAACTAATAACAAACTAATAATTTGTGTATTTTGTAATACTTTAATAATTTAATTTAATTATATGTTTGTCCTTGCAGTTACCCATCCATAACTGTATCGTCATACCCATCCTGGTTACCATGTCCTAAATGCGTAAATAAGCAATCTTGATAGAATCCAGCAGATTTCACCAGCAATCTGCTCCTACAGCAGCATCGATCCCTGATAACATGGTATGGAGAACATCTGCTAGTTTACAGAGCAGGTGCTTTGTCTCCCTCATTGGATATGATTAGGGAGAAGGAATTTCCATCTGAATCCTTGGTCCACAGATCATAGCTCTGCCCCCTCCAGGCTCTCTCTCTCACGCACACACACACACACACACACACAGACATACACACACACGCATACACGCACACACACATACACACACAGACATACACACACACGCACAAACACGCACATGCAAATACACGCACAGACACACAAACACGCACACGCAAATACACGCACAGACACACACACACACACACGCACACACACATACACACACACACGCACACACACATACACACACACACAAGCACATGGTGGGGGCCTCAGCAGATGCCTTCTAGGGGTCGAGTTCTAAGTGCTGAGTATTGTGATTGGTGGATGAATGACACCCAGTGTCCCTGTCTCAGCCTGGGGACCCCTGCCCCCCCCATCTGTCACCATGAAGATATCTGAGCCCCTCCAGTGAGATCCTGCTTCTCTCCACTTATAATGTTTTTACTTTATTTCTCAAAAGCAGCCGAATGCAATAAGCTCAATAACCACCTTACTGTACTGTACTCTGCCGTCACTATGGTGCCTTTTACTCACTGACACCCCCCCCCCTACTTAACAGATTTTATTGGTACCAATCCCTTAGCAGTAGTAATACTTTTTGATCCCAAAGGAAATTCCAAATGAATTACAGCAGTGCACACAATACAATGCTAAATTTCAATGTGCAATGTGCAACATTTAAAAATACAGTTATAATCTTGGGGGCTGGAGACTGGGAGGGGTGAGGGGCGGGGGGGGGGGGGAATGAGCAAATTTTATCATCTGGTTGGCAAACTTTATCATGTCCCCACAGGGACCCCTGCCTCTCTCAGCAAAGGTTACTGTATCGAAAGGGGTCTCCAATCAATAAGTTTGAGAACCTCAGTAAACGAGACACACCAAACGTGGACACGGTTTCCCGTATTCCGGACCGTATTCGATCATTCCCGACACTCACATGCGTAGTCCTGCGCTCCGCTGAGCACGCGGCCGCCCGTCTCCGGCGACGATCTCGCGCAGTCGGCTGACATGTCGGAACAGGCAGTTCTCGCGTGCGCCACGGGGCGAGCCCTCTCCCTCGCAGTCGGATCTCCCGGTATTCCGAGTTTTTGGAGCTGGAGCGGAATGGGAAGAGAAAGGTTATAAAAATAAAGACATGTTCTTGTTTCATTGGAAATAAAAAAACAAAAAAACAAAAGAAAAGGGGAGGAGCCTCGAATGGCGATGATGACCCTGGAAAGGGATGCTGGAGGTGAGCGATACCCAAAGATAACTAGACTGGCAACGGGACAGCACAGTGGCTCACTGGTTAGCACTGTATCTTCACACCTCTGGGACCAGGGTTTCAATCTCCACCATGACTCCATGTGTCATCGCGGGGTTCCTTCTGAGTACTCTTGATTCCCCCCACAATCCAAAAGCAAGCACAGATTGATTGGAGTTAACAAATCGCCCATAGGTGTGCGTGTGCGTGGGAATGGTGTGTGACTGTGCCCTGTGATGGGTTGGCACCCCATCCCTGCCTTTTGCCCGTTGCTTTAGACCTCTCCTGACCCTGAATGGGACAAGCGGTTTCAGAAAATAGATTCATGCATGAATGGATCGACATCTTAACCCCTCTAGTGAGCAAACAATTTGCAGACATAGAAAAAAACTGACAAAAGCTGAAACTTCAGTCTGACCAACTGTGAACTGGTGATAAGATACACCAGTAAGATTACCAGTCCTACTGTGAATCTAAGCACATTCCCTTTACAAATTAGAGGGCAATTTGATGTCCCTCAACAACCATAACCCTAACCCTAACCCTAACCCCTCTAAGCCTGGAAGCTGATGGACATTTCAGACCCACAGAGCTGATCAGCTAGCTAAATACTAAGTCCTTCACCGTGGATGCCAGATGATCTCCTTCTTCTGCTGTTGAATCCCACCCAAAGCCGACTTTCGAGAAAGACACCAAAGCCTCTGGAGAACTCACACAGCCTCAATACATGTAGCCTTGCTAGGCTCTGCGTTAACTTAAATCTGGATTTACTAATCCGGTTTGCTAGTAATTAATTCGATTACAAGAACGTTATTACCAAGCACCCCTGCACATAGGAACTGGCAACAAAGAGCTAAACACTAGCATCACACTGTTCAGTAACTGCATACTGTACTCTGCTGTAAATGTTATCAAAAATCAATAGAATAAAAAACCTCTGAATGAGATTCTAAAAGCATTTAATTACAATACTCTAAAACCTTAAGAAGTGTGTTTAGTTGCCTTATGTACACAGAGTCAGCCCTTACCTTGCAGCACCGCGTGGAGGAGCACAGGGTACAGAGCAACAAAAGAGATGGCTTTGTGCCCGAGGAGGAGCTGGAGCCGGAGGAGGAGGAGCATGAGGAAGAGGAGCTGCCCCGGTCACGACCGACCTTTCATCCGCCGGCCAGAAGCCGCTCGAGCAGCTGCATTTCAATGAAGAGGCTATTAGCTCGGTATGCAGAGTGTGTTTTAATCAAAAGCTAAGTGCATAGAGTCTATGTGCCTATGTGTCTCTGTGTTAGAGAGCATGTGTATGCATTACTGTGTGTGTGTGTGAATGTGTATGCATTACTGTGTGTGTGTGTGTGTATGCATTACTGTGTGTGTGTGTGTGTGTGTGAATGTGTATGCATTACTGTGTGTGTGTGTGTGTGTGTGTGTGTGTGTGTGAATGTGTATGCATTACTGTGTGTGTGTG